GGTTCCCCTTCTATTTCTAAATAATCCTACAGGAGTCCTATCCTTAATGTACTTCTTTGTGCGTTACCTTGAAATCTTCCTAATGCTCTTTTGTGACATGTGGCGTTACTTTATTATTCATTCAATGCATTCAACAATAATGGGTGCAAATTTCAATCAGAAACAGACCTTTATCTCAAAGCACATAGAGGGAGAAATAAAGCAACTGTATAAATAAGCTTGATAAAGGGACACCTGGTTGGCTCAGTTGGTTGAGCCTCCAACTCTTGATTTCCATTCAGGTCATGATCTCATGGTTTGTGAGTCCAAGCCCTGAGCTGACAGTGCAGAGACCACTTGGGACTCTCTCTCTCCCTCTCTCTCTGTCCCTCCCCCACTCACATTCCCTCTCTTTCTCTCAAAATAAATAAATAGGCTTTAAAAAATAAATAAGTATAATAAAAAGTATAGTAATATATACCATAAGAAAGTGCTTTTAGAAAGTTTTGGATTTGTAAGAGATCTTAATGGTCTAGTATTCTTAGTTCCTCATTTTAAAGATGAAGAAACTAAAAGAAAAAAGGTTAAATGACTCATTCTTTGGGATAGAATCTGCTCATGTGAGGCATCATCATGGACTAGAAAGAACAGTGAGCTTAGGTCCAGACAACCTAGGGTTGATTTGGGGTTTCAGTCCTTAGTAGCTCTCATAAAGGACAAATGATCAAATTTACTTGAGCCTTAGTTTTCTCATCTACAGAACTGGGATAATAATACTTGCCTATTAGAGTTGATGTAAAGACAGTGAGATGATGAAATGGTTTTGTGGACTGGAGGCAATATAAAAATGTAAACTATTACTACAATTAATGAATTGCAGAACTAGGAAAAAAAACTCAAATCTCCGAACTTTGAGACTCTTGTCATCATGCGTTAATGTGAAATGCTCTCCGTGACTTCCAGTATAGGACTTAGCAGTTCACTTTCTTACATAAAATAGAATCTAATTATCAATCATACATACATATTGTTGACTCAGATCGTGTGATCATTTTTCATCCGTTTGAGTTATACGCAGAAAAATAAAATAGATGCTCTTGCTAGAAAATTTCTTGGCTAATTCTCACAGTAACATAGGATAAGAACGTTGTCCAACATTTCTCAATGCCATGTTGTATTTTCAGCCTGTTTATTCTGGCGTCTTCCTTAGAAGCGGTGTTAGTGTTGAATAAAAGTTGAGCAATTAAAAAGAAAAAATAAACATCAGGAACTTTGTAGATCAAAACTTGTGAACACATCCTTGGGGCACTTTAAGAGAAGTTAAGTGATAACATCATTATAATATTGTGTTACTTCTTTGATCTGCTGAAAAGCTAAGTGATATAATCAGTTTTTTATTTCTGAGTTTTCTTTCCAGTTGCTGCATGTGGCAACAAAGCTAAGACGTAGGTTAATTATAAAAGCTTTTGTCCTTTTCTTCACCCTATTATAGACTTCTTCCTTGTTAAAGTGCATAAGAATAGAGGGAACTAAGTTTATTTTTATGTATTCTATTGCTGTATGATTACATATATACATACACATATATTACTGTATGATTTAAAAGGCGAAAGATTTATGCGATCTGAAGAGAAACCAGAGTATTTTTTTTTCAACGTTTATTTATTTTTGGGACAGAGAGAGACAGAGCATGAACGGGGGAGGGGCAGAGAGAGAGGGAGACACAGAATCGGAAACAGGCTCCAGGCTCTGAGCCATCAGCCCAGAGCCCGACGCGGGGCTCGAACTCACGGACCGCGAGATCGTGACCTGGCTGAAGTCGGACGCTTAACTGACTGCGCCACCCAGGCGCCCCGAAACCAGAGTATTTTTACTGTATGATTTAAGACAGGTATTCAAGGGGCTTTATTTTTTCTTTATTGTTTCTTTAAGGAAACAAACCCTCAGCAATATCTTTATCTGATTGTAATGTCCGATTTCGTATTCTTTAGAAGGTCCTTTAATATAAGCTGATGTCATGACTATGAAAGGAAACATGGTAGAAGGTATTTTACTGGAAACCAGGCAGGGTGTATTATTAGTAATGTGGCTCCAGGGACACTGGGTCTCTGATGAGCAGGCTTAAGATAGAGATAAAATTTAAAACATCTAGAAGAAGAAATGGATGGTGTATCCTTCTGCAATCTATCATAAATATTTCCCTTAGTCAAATTTTGGGAAACTATAGAGCAGGAGTTAGTTTGAGACTGCATTCTCTGTAAAGTATATGGGTGCAGTTTGTCAATTTAGTTTTGTGCTTTAAAAGTTAGCCCATCTGGAAAGTAAGATCTTCTGGTAGATAAGGAGAATGTTCAAAGTGAGAAGTGACAGTGCCTGAGGTAGTAAAGTTTCTCCTGGGAAAGTTTGAGTCTGCTCAAACACCCAAACAAAGGGTAATCATGACCCCAAATATTTTATGCAAAAAATCATGCTCTCAGTATCTTCAGGAAGGAAAGATTTCTTGTAGGCTACATGAAACCGTGCATATGTAAAGTTTATATGAATTGTAGTTCTCATTGTTTTGACTATCTGGCTATAATGCCCAACATGTAAACAAGATACTCCACATATTTATTCATCATTTTCAACCAATACTCATTGAATGTTAATTATGTGCCAAGGAGGGCAGACAATATTATGAACATTTTAGAAAATAATAAATGGAGTTTCTGAGAGCCTAAGATGTGCCCTAAATCACATAACTTAGACTTGAAACGTTTGGTTCCTAGTTCATTCCAAACCTTGCTGACATGGGTTTGACAGGGGCTGACATGACCAAGGACCATGGTTGCCAAAGCCTTTCCTCTTCATTAACTATTAATGTGATTATTAAATGCATTGGGCAAAGTTTCACAATTTCTATTTGTTTGTGCAGTGGCATTTTCTTTAATTACCGTTGCACGGTGTTCTTAGGAGCCACACTAGCAAACACACACAATGCTTGACTTTACATTATTGGTTAACATTTATTGAGTGTACATTGTAAGGTGTGGTGCTATGCATTATGCAGACATATTCTCATTTAATCCTTAAAAGAGTCTTCGGAGACATATTTATCATCCCTCTTTTGTTTATACAGAAACTAAGGCTCAGAAAAATTAAACAACTTGCCCAAAGTCACAGGTAGAAATATAAATATTCTGACAATCCTCATAGGAAGATATATAAAGGTGCATGAAAATCAGAAGCCAAACCAACAGACTTTTATGATTCCAGTAGGGTATGGAACAAATGTTGAACTAAGAATAAAAGTAAGAGACAGAGCTGGGTTCATATTCAGTTTTAACTCCAAAGCTCCCAGCTTAACTGCTATGCTATACTGACACATTAGTCTGTAAGTTTGTAATCATTTGACTTTTCACCCAATAATGGTAATAAATTCTGGGTCATTACCATCATAGTGGATAAAATTTACTGTGACTAACGCTTTTATAATGCTTAACAGTCATAGATTCAGAAACATTTGTAAATTTTAAAGTTCTCTAATAAAGAACAAGGAAGTGCCCCTTCATATAAAAAAAAAAAATTTTTTTTTAAAGAAGATGGCAAGCTTTGGTAAGAGAAGTCAAAACTTCAGGTTACCGAGTGTGATTCTGCTGTGGGATTTGAAACGTTGAAAAGCTAGTATCTATGCTTGTGACTAACACATCTTTCTGTTCAGATGTGTGTAACAGGGTAAAATAACCCATTTGACAAAAAAATTACTACAGTTTGCCAGATATTGTGTCGGGTGCTGCTGGGTAGCTGCCAGGGGTTGAGGAAAAGGGAAGTGATTTTTATCAAACTGGGCAAACTTCACCTGTCTGGGATTCATTATCTACTGGTTAAATGAGGAGGTTGTGTACCTAGGTCTTCTTGTTTCCGGTTTTTGGGGGGTTTGTGTTCCGGTTTCTTCTCCCCATTTGCCACTATTTCCATGTTAAAATATCCATCTCATACTATCCTAGTTTTGCAATTCATTAATTAGTTCCACAAATGTTTATCGAGCTTCTAGTATCAAGCACGATAGGAATGAAGTTTCTAATAATAGAAGCAATAATGGAGCTTACTGTTCAGAGGACTAAGATAATAAATAAATAATATCATTTACAAAACAAATACATAAAAATAATCATTAACAATTAATAATTACAGGTTGGAAAGATACTAAGAGGGAAAAAAGATGGCGTGTTGTCCTTTTGATAAGTCACAAAATGAAGCAAATGATAGATTCTTTCAAATACAAAAATGACCACCTATCGAGGTTACCAGATTTTAAAGGGGGGGGGGGGGGAAGACACTTTACAACCAACTAAAGAATTAATAATAATAATAAAAAGAATGGATAGCCATTATTCTTGCAGAAAGTTGTATTGGGACGGGTTTACTCTGTATCTTTTCTTTGTAATAGAAGAGAGGCTTCTCAAAAAGAGCAGCGAAAGAACTCATTTTTTTTTTTTTTTTTT